CAATGCTCCAATCATCAATCAATTAATGGATGGCGAAGTCTGTAGTATGGTTCTAGATCCAGAAAATACTGCTACTGATAGTAAAGAAAGTGACAGAGAGATTATTGAAAGTGAAAAAGTTTCGATTGTCAATTTAGTCGGAATTCTCAACACAGCAATTACAGGACTTGACCAATGGAACTTTGTAACTGAACATAAATTATGTCTGTCTATAGAATTAAAGAGAAAATGTTAGGACGAAAAATTAACTTTAAACAATTTACATTAAAGAAATGTTTCATAAAATAAACAAATAAATATTAAGCTTTTTTTTTTTTAAAAATTTACTATTTAGATCATAAATGCTTCATTATTTCATAAATTACGATTTCATATTTTTAATTTTATAATTTCTACATGCTATCTTACTAGTTTTGAACTGATAATCTAACATCCGGAAAAATCCCAAATCCGGAATCGCCGAAGCCCCAACAAGTTCAGATTTCGGACTTTGTACTGTATTCTATTTGTTTATTTCTGTCTGAAGCTACAGAAAATTTGGAAACCCAAGTTCACACTTGTGTCAAAATAATACTTTTAAATTACTTATTGAAAATATGGCTTATGTTTAATAAAGGCATAATTAATAAATAATACCATTTCTGAAATTTGGAGTTCACTCAACAATTTAAATTGGTTGGTTTTGGATTGAATAGAAGGCCTTTTTTTCACTACCAGCAGTGCCCATCAGCATTTTAGTGGTAAAATCCCTGAATGCTAATAGTTTGATTCGGGTTTGAATCTTGGCAAATGGGCTGACTGCATGGAAGTTTTCACAGTTTTCCTCACATGTAATATGAATATGGGAGAGTTTCCCTTAGGACATCCTCTACAATAATACTTCTGCACTCAAGCAGGTAGCCCTTGTATGCTTGCTGTAATCCTTGAAAACCTAACCTTCTTTTAGCTACAGTCATCTACAGGCACTTAACTGTGTATTGCCTCTTTATTTCTTATGGAAGTTGTGATTTGTGCAGGTGCATGCACTTGTAAGTAAATAATTTGTATTAAATATTTATTGATAATATTTTTGTCATTTAATAAAAAAAAAAAAACTAATTCATAGTTAATATGGTTTTGGGGAATTTTATGGCACTTAGAAATCAAGCAGGATGATTATAAATCAGGGCCATGTTTCTGCCAGCTAGGGCTGATCAGGGATTAAAAGTAGAATGAAAATATGAAGTACATGTAGTTTAGACATGTAACTGATCCCCTTGTAACAGGAAGGCAAAATTTAGCTTTTGTGATTTATTTCTTGTGTACCAGTTTCTCTTAACAAGTCCTTTGTGACATATCCCTTTTCATAGATATGCATTCTTTTTTGCTTTTCTTTAAAAGATTAATTCAAATCTATATGTCTGTCGCTGAACATCGTAAAACACATATATGTATGTGCCTAACAAAGTTGCTTATATTTATTCCTGTAAATGCATTCTGCTTTAAATGAATTTCTTTTATTTATTAACTGAAAATGTTTGTAGTATTTAATAAAGAATCAGTTCATAACTTATGCCACTGCTGCAAAATTGCAGTATAAGCAGAAGTTAAGCAGGATGATTCCAGATTGAAAATACTAATAATTCTCGTATAGGTGATCATTCCTTTATTTAATAAATTGTTATCTGAAATGGCTTACTTTAATTTTCAATTATGAACACAAGATCTCAGGCCTGTGTAATTCACATTGTACTTGTAATTAGATATTGTAATTACATTGTAATTTTATTTAGATTTCACAAATTGCTTTGTAATTGCACTTATAAAAAGCGGTTATGATGTTATTGTAATTACATAATCTATGCAATTACATTTTGCTCAACTATGGTAACTAGCATTCAAAATTAAGGGATAATTGTAAAAATGTCAGTTATAATAAACATAGATAAAAATTCCACTGGATATTATTATGTATACTTATTATATCTGCAGAAAGCTAAAAACTTGTTGCTGCATATATAACCCTTAAAATGTGCAAGTAAGATACACATGAATAAAGTATGAAGGGAGACATATTTGATTTCATGTGGATATCTTGATTAAATGTATAGTTGTAAGTTCAAAAGTGGTTGTTAATTACATTTGAAAGGTAAACTTTAAATGAAGGCCAGAAGTGACAGGGTAGCGGTCCTTATAAGTGCTTATAAGTCCTTATATTTGAAAATAAAATATAAAGGCCCTTATAGGTGCTTACTTTTTCTGTAAAGCCCTTATTTTTTGTTTTTAGTGCTTATTTTTTGCTTTTAGTGCTTTTTTTGTTTTGTTTGTTTTTTAACCTTTGGTGTGCATGAAGAGTACAGACAGGTGCCCGTCATTCTATTGGTCAAAGAATTGCGAAAGCAGTAGAAAATTCCGTTACATTCGGCATTCTTTTCCTCCCACCCAAATACTACACACGTTTGAATTTCTATCAATATCTTAAAAATTTGCATTCTCGTTCTGCTTGGTCAGTTCATATTCGTGTTTATTGTGATCATTATGCTTATATTACGAGCATATGTATGAATGTTTATAATAACATAGTTGCAGTAACTGCTGAAGTATAGTAAACTTCCAAAAATGGTTGTGTTTTAACACAGATTAGCTTTCTAAGGAATAATATTGGGAATGGCTTAAATAAAGGGAAAGTAATCAAATAGTCAAAATAATTTAATTTTTTTGGCCAATACATTATACAGTACGAAGGTTGGGAGGTCTTTCCTTTCTCCGCAAAATCTTGAATATTGAAACTGTTACAGTTCGCTGCAAAACAAGCAACAGACCTTTTTTTTCAGGGGGGGGGGATCACTTTCCAATCTGGATTGAATAGGACTAAAAGTTCTGCAGTCTACCAACCCAAGCGAAGAATGATTCTATTCCAGAAATTTAACGCCGTCTGTTGAAAATTAGAATGAAAAACACCCCAGTTATTTAGTTCTTTTTTCTCCCAATACCGGCAGTTGTTGATTCCAATTGCGTAATATCACGTAGGGAAGAATTACAGCGCACGTATTGCGCAATAATGTTTGCGATATTTTGCAGAGATAATTAATTTTGATGTTCAGTCTGAGCTTTGTTTATGAGCACTTAAAAGAGTTTTACTGTGCTTGCTAAGCGGAATATTTTTTAGTTCCGTTGGTTTATTTTTATATGATGCACATATTGAAATGTCAAAAGCATTTATTTAGCGGAAAAATCTAAAGAGCGGCTACAGTACCCCCCCACTCCGCTCCTTCAAGTTACGCTCGACTGTCCGAATATTCGCCAATTTCCAAGTATGCGGGTTAGTTAAGCTTTTACTGTTAAAGATGACTGCATGAAGCAAATTTCTGTCTTCTGATTACAGAAATGTTCCTCTTTTTTACTTAAATTACTTTGCTTGCAATATCTGTTAAGAGAAAACTGATATACAATGAAAATTTAGAAAATGTTCAGAATTTAGATTTAAACTATTTAAATATCAATATGAGTGGAAAAATAAATTGCATTTATTATTAGGTTCCAAGCGAATACAATAAATATGCCTTATTATTATTTATTTTCTCTATTTTGAACTGAAATTTCATCATTAAATCTTGTAATATAGTTTAGTTCTTCATAGGTTTTTTTTTTTTTTTTTTCCCTCTCATTGTAAACTAGTTCTGTCTATTATTTAAAATTAAAAACAAAAAAAAGTAATTATTTTCCATGGTTGAGGTAATGCTTATTCTCTCTTAATAAGTACTTCATTTCTCATATTTTAAATTACAAGTCTAATTTTTAAGGTTATACAGTTGTGTATGATGTAATTAGGCAGGTGCTTATTTTTTTTTCTTAAAACGTGCTTGAAAAGTGCTTATAGGTGCTTATTTTTTTAACTAAAATGTGGCTTTGAACCCTGAGTGATGAAGGATTGATTGACTCATAAGCAAGTCAAACATAGCAGGATGTCTCTAGAATACTAGGAATTTCTAACGAGTAGTTGGTTAAGAACATAGAACAGTTTTTTAAGCATGGGAAAACAGCTAATTGTCTCACTGGTCAAATTAATCTTAGAGTAAATGCAGTATCTAAAGAATTATTATTTTTCATTTCTTGTACTGAAAGACCATTACACAATTGCTTGACATTGAGAGAATTTTACACGAGACATTATGAGATTGTTTAAAATTTTTAATTCCCATTCATATGCATTACCAACAATCATCTTAGTCTTGTACTCTCCCCACTCCTTACTTAAAGCTGATTCATATAAATTCTAGTTCATAGTTTGGATTACATGATTCATTGATATTCCTACATGATTTGTCTATTGTCACATGGTCCCTGAATCTTTATTAAACATATTTTTTGAAAAAAAAAAATTCATTGTACATTTGATCTTAGTCTTTATGGATGCTGTAATTCTTTGTATATGCCTTCATCCATCTTGGATAGTTAGTGCTGTTTTAATTGCATTAACTTATAATGCAATTGAGTTGCAGTTCATGAAATTTGAAGTTTTAGTAATGTGGCAATGTTATGCAATGTAATTTTGCATGGATATTCAGTATAACAGAATATTTTTAATGTTAGTACTCTAAAAAAGTACATTTTGTTTAAAATTGTTTTGTATGAAATGCTGTCTGAAATCATCCAAGAATTATTTTAATTTTATAAATATGAATGTTTTGTAAATTATAAAATAAACCATTATTCAAATTTTGTATTAATCTTATTCAAAAGGCTTTTACTTGCTTATATTCATGAAGAGCTTAAGATTTATGCTAAACTATGAATTTTTTTAAAGCTGTTTAAGGTTTGAAATATGCATTAATTTGCTTAAAATAGATGTCATAATTGCCTTAATGTGCCTTAAATTAATGAATTTTTCATTGCATTCAAGATGTCATACATAATGAAACTGAACAGTATAAATGGTTTTGACATTTTCATTAATTGTTTATTTAACAATATATTAATACATATATGTCCTACCTAAATATTACTTTCAATCTTTACAGGAGGATTCTTCAGAAATGAAAGTTTGTTGTGCAAAACTTTTATCTCATTTGATCCAAGTGGGTATAGTTTTAAGTGGAAAAAATATAGCATCTCAGTGGATTGAGCGCATCCTGACGGCTATTAGAATGTTGCCTGGTAATAAAGTTATTTTTCAGTTTATTTACTTGTTTGCTTGTAAACCTAAAAAGTGTGTCGAGTTTGTATATTATTAATTTTATTAAACTTGAAATATTTAGCTATTAATAACTTTAAGACAAATAAAATATCTAATTAGCTGAATATTTTTAAGGATTTTTTGAAAAAGAAATCTTATTGGGAAACAACCTAACTTGAAATTAACTTTGAAAATACTTTTCGTGTTGGTAAAACTGTCTTAGTAGTCAGAAGTAAACTTTTTGTGACAAGAGTTCTCCCTGTCTTGGATTTGTTCAAGATTACTTCTTTTTTAAAAACATAAAAAATTCCACTTTATTTTTATTTTAAAAAAAGCCTTTGCAGTTTTTTAAATGAGGAGATAATAGCAACCTACATAAATAAAAAAATATCACTTACTAATAAAACCTTACAAACAACTTAAAATTTATATAGGGAAGAATGATCTAATTCAGCATTGTAAATTATTGTGACAGTTATGACTTGAAGCTGATATTCTTTCGAAATTGATAATATATGTACTGTATTTCCTTATTTATTTTCTATCCTTTTTGTTGTGTGTTTTATTAATAAAGAAAGTTTGTTGAAGTCAATTGATAATATTTCATTGAAGTTATGATTTTATAAATCAAACATATCAATTTCAAAGTTAGGACTTTATTGTTAATTATTCTTCACTTGATTAGAAGTTATGATTTTATAAATCGAGTTTAATATTTAAAATTTAACTTGCATGTTCCAAGCACTTTGCAGTTTTTCTGTGTAAACAGCATGTGAGTAATTCTTTCATTCTGAGTACAAAAAGAATTAAAAAAAACAAAAAAACAAAAGGGATTAACACATGGCTGCTGGCATCTATAAAAATTGTATAGAGACCATTAAAAATGGAATAACTAACTCAGCTTTTCATATTATTAATTGCCCACCAGCGGCCGAGCGGTAAAGTCGCTGAACACTGGTAGTTCGGTCCGAGGTTCGAATCCTGCGAACGGGCTGGCTGCATGGGCGTTTTCATGGTTTTCCCCATGTGTAACATGTATACGAACCAGTTTCCCTTAGAAAGTCCACCACGAAGGCATCCCTTCCCTTAGGCAGATAGCCCTAGTGTGCTTTGCCATAATTAAATAAACCAAACCAAACCATATTATTAATTCCTAAGTTCTTGATATATGAACCATTGTCATTGCCTGATGCCACGGGTTCATACACGTTGTTATTTTCGGTATCTTGCTAGATTAAATATTATCAGAACTGTCTATGACATTTGAAATACTGGTTTTCTTGAGACTGTCAGTAATTGGTGAAAATAATTTCTACATCTCTATGTTTCGGTCGCTAATATTCTTTAGATTCAGCTATTATGTTTTGCATTTGTGTGTCAAAATGTGTTTACCTCTCCAGCTATGCACATTGTGTAAAACTGGATTTTATTAGCAGAGCCATTATGTGCCTTCAAGAATCACAGCCATATCCAATCATCTTTTTTGTATAATCTTTACTTCTTCATTTAGATGGTTCCATCTAATGTATCTAGTCTTGCATTTTAGATGTAAAATATAATTGAATATCATTCCCCTCCCCAGAAATATATCATAAAACTAAGAGTGTGAAAAATATGTAATAATAAGTACTTGAAAATTTATCATATGCATAAAATTTATTCAAATCTGTCAGTGATTTTATTAAGGGCATTTAAAAATTTGCTAGATATATATATTTAATGTTTGATATCCTTGAAATATTTAAATTTAATGTGTGGTATTCTATTCTCGAAATTCTCTTAGCTCTGTTTATATTATTTGTTGGGTGATTCCTTCAGTTATTATTGTTGTCATTTTCTCTAAATATCATAACTTAAGCATAGACTCCAGTTATTATAGATTCTAAGTAGTTTTCTGAGAAATTTTAGAGAAAATATGAACTACAGAAAAAACTCAGGAAAAGGGAGGCAAGGGAGATGGTACGTAAAACTAAACTTGCTGATTTCTCTCTGCTGATTGGTGGAATGCTCATTGCATCATGTATCACATATTAAGTTGATGCTGATCCTGATTTAAGAGAAACCAATTTTAGTTTTGTAAATTCCAGCCCTTATCTGTCCAATCAAGCACCTTGCAGTGAAGGGTTTGTGTAGCCAGGAGATCCTGTTTGTTTATGTATGGAAAGAAAATGTTGCATGTGGTTTTTGGGAGTTGTGATTAAACTGGGTGCTTTTTAAGTTCATGAATTATGTTACCTCAGAATAAGAGGCTCAACTAATCATACTCATATTCTTCATAACTCATATTCTACAGAATTTTTATGCATTAAGTCATGTAAACATGCACTTTACTGTAGCGACAAAGACTTTTCAGTTGCACATAACATAAAAGGTAACTGTAAATGGCATGTATTTTCACAAAGGCAGAGCTGTAAAATTGAAAGAAATACCAAATTCCTAATGAAACGGAAGTTATAAAACCTGAATGCTATTTAATTCAATTTTTAACTGAATAGAGCCTTTAAATTTCAGTTACAAACCATTCAAAACAGCTTTTAAATGCAATGTTTTTGGATTTTACCACAGCAAAATGTACTTAAAATGCAACGTGTGGAATAATTTTTTTCTATTACTACAAAAAAGGGGGGGGATTGTATTTTGACCGAATTTAAGTACAGAAACACTTGAAGCTGTTTTTGTGGGAAAGTAAACATTCAGGCAAATGAAGAATCATTTTATAGAAAAAGATTATCTAATTTAAGCATATGAAGTATGAATTCTGAATTAGATAATCTTTTTAATTCTGAATTTAGATAATTTTATGCTGCTTATAAACCTTTATGTTCGTAGTTTATAAATGAATTATAAGTATTTTTATTGATATGATATGTATATTTGGCTCTACTCTTATATGTGCCCTCGGATTGCCAAATGCAGCAATATGTGTTGTGCGCTGGTTTTTGGCACAATTGCATGTTCTGCGATGGTTTTGGGGGCGATGTTGGTTTCTTATGGCAACCCTTTTTACGTGGAAACTTGGATTGGGTTCAGTTGCTAGTTGGTTCTGTGCTGTGTGGTTTTAAATGATGCGTTGAAAGACGTGTTGGCAAAAGTTTAGTTGGGTGGCTGGAAATTCTACACGTTTTTAGGAAAATACGATTTTGAACATTTATTTGTGAAACATAGTATCAGTTTTGTGGATAGTGAGTCTGGCTGTCATAAATACGGTAGAGATTACGAGGCGGCATGTTAAAGCTACGTTGCATACTTATATTCGGAAATGTGTTTTTGAGTTTTATTTGTTGTCTTATATATTTTACCATCATTGTTCTGAAACCAGAAAAGATGCTTTTAACAAATTTGTGGTGAAATTGTTTTGGTGATGTTTGAATTTGGTATTTCTGTTGTTCAAAGAAGCATTCATTCATGGTTAGTGTACTTTTCTAGTTCTTATTCTGTAGAATGTAATGTTCATGTTTTTTTTTAATACAAATTTCTATCGTTATTGTTGTTTTTTTGAATTGCGTGAAATTTATTTTAGTTACCGTATTTGACGTCATATAAGACTCACCCTTATTTAGAAGGCCACACACAAGAGGAAAAAGTTTCAATAGTCCATGCGAGAGCTCGGTACCACAATAACTTAAAATGTGGTTTCTTTTAGTTCTCACGTTTCGTAAAAGCCAAATAAACAAGCATTGAATGCAATTACCAAACATATTTTTATTAAGGAAAATGAACAAACGGCAAGCTATTTTGAACATGATATGTAAATTTCAATAATGAATAAATGAATGAACGGCAAGCAATGAAACATAATATAAAATAAAGCAGAAACAACAAAAAACACAGAAACACAGATTCAAGGAAAATGTTGCCTATCATAAAATTAGACTTTAATCACTTTCAAAACCCTAAAAATCCTTTTCACTATCATCATCATCGAAAATTAGAATATCGTCATCACTACTGTTTCCGTCATTGCTAGTATCACCTTCTTCGAGTAATGCGTCGTCTTCTGTTCTGTCAAGAGCATTACTGATTCCGCACTTCTTAAAGGACTTAACAATTGCTTCAGCTAGTCAGTCCACCAGGAATGACAGCTATCTGGGTTTTTAATTCTCTCGCTTTATTCTTTATGGTTTCAGTTCTATGGGCTCTAAACTGATCCAAAACCAAAAGAGAGGGTTTTCTTAAGAGTCCACCAGGTCGTGCCCATCTGTAACCACAGTTTCATTCCAGCTTCATCCATTCAGCCTTTCGGATGAACATGAACAATTACACCGTTGGAAGTTTTTCTTTCAGGTGAATTTTTCTTTTGAATATGAAAAACGGTGTTAGTTTTGTGCCATCAGCACAACATGTTAGAACTACCGTATATCAGGTTTTTTCATGACCTGTGGTTTTTATGGTTATTGATTTAGACCCTTTAATACTCAGTCTTGTTGGATGGTACATCAAATGTGAGTGGAATTTCATCCATATTTCTTATTTGACCAAGCTCAAAAGAAGTTTTTTTGCATGCATTTATCACAAACCTATGAAATGCTAGTATTTTTTCTTCATAATGTGCTGGCATGTTCTGTGCAATAGTTGTTTTTGTGTGCATTGATAAGCCTTGCATTTTCATGAACCTGTAGCACCAGCTCTCAGACCCTGAAAAGTTCTGATTACCATGCTTGCTTTTCTGCAAATCCTTTGGCCTCATTGATTATCATTTTGGTTGAAACATTTATCCCAGATTCCCCCTTATCTATCACCCATATTTTTACGGCATTTTCAAGTTCAGGTCAAGATGGAGCTGGTCATCAAAGGTTATGTTTTTGTTTTTTTAGCAGTCTTCAGTTGATCTTCTTGCAGTCGCCAAGAACGTATCTCTTTTTTGGTAGTAGGTGGATCGAAATGCCTTGCTACTGCTCCGTTTCCATGCACTTTGGCGTAGTTTAACACTCCTAGTTTATACTGAATTGTATAGCTTAATCTCTTGCTTCCTGTAGTCATATTTCCAGGGTATTTTTTTTTTAAACAAATAGTTTTAAGCACCGATACCGAGACGTTTATACAGAATAGCACTGATACCGACACATGTGTCGGCTGAGTCAAAGAAAGTCTATGTAAAGAAGGAAAGGCTTCTTAGATGTAATGTGACCATCGAACCTGTTCGAACTTCGACATCAACTTAAAGCTTTGGCGACAGATATTTCTTGCATGCGCAAAATAATTATGGCAGATGTAGAAAAAGTTATGTGTGTGTAGACCTTTATTCGAGCTAAAAATAGCATTCAGTATTAAAAGTTAACCTGCGTCCTTCATGTATAAGACGCAGGTAACATTTTTGAGACCAAATGTAGGAAAAAAAAGTACGTCTTATATGCAGTCAAATACGGTAGTTTATTTTGTTAATTAGTGCACAATGCCTAGATTGTGCAATTTGTAGATGTTTTTCAAAGTTTAAACAGAATGCTGTGTACATGGTATTCTTGAAATTTATCATTGTTATGTTAATTTATTTAAGCTAGGTGTGCATAGTTCGTAGATTCCTTCGCTGCATAGATTGTGCAATTCTGTGATTTTTTTTTTTAAACATATTGCTGTGTACATGGATTCTTGTCAAATATTTTCGGTTAGAAACTTTATGTTTTTGCTATCTAAAATTTTTGTTTTTGTATCGGATTTTTAGCTTAAATTGTGTGTTCAAAACATGGTTTTTGCAGACATTTTAGGCTTAAAGTTTGAAATGTAGACAAAAAATTTAAGTAGTTATATGGCCGGCTTGGAGTTTCTCGCCAAAAATGTTTGGTGAGAAGAATGTCGCCAACCGAGAGCATATATGAGAGTAGTTCCGTATTTTCTTAATTCTATCTAGAATTAATTTTTTTAAAACTCTTTGTAGAAATCAGAATCCCCAAACCTCAAAGATTTTAATTTCTCCTACGATTATTTATGATTCAAAATGGTTGCTTCTGTAATATATTAGTAGATTTAGTGATATTTTTGCTTGAGTAACAAAAAGGGAACTTCTAATTTAATATGTGTGTAATTTATGAGAAGTATTTTTATTTATTCAGTTTTTCTCTGTTTATGAAATTTAAGTTGAATGTAATTAAATTAATGGCTAAATTAAGAAATTTACTACTTTGCTAGCACATTTTCAAATTTGTAAAAATATTGTTTGTGCATTGATTAATTGCAAGTTTTGCTGTAGTTTGGAGTCTGCGCTCAAATTTTTAAACAGACATACCAATAAAAGTGTTTTTTGTTTTTATAACTTTATGATATTGAATTAATTCATTATATTATAGAAAAATTTGCTTTCTGTTTCAGCTGATAAGGATTACTTATATAGTGCTCTCTTAATGATAAGTAGTTTAGGCAAAAAGTACCATGATTTATATGCTGCTGTTTTAAAGTAAGTTTTTTTTAAAAATAAGTTTCTTAAATAAAAATGTAAAATTTTATAATATGATTTATTTATTTAATTTTATTTTTCCATGTGCAGAACAAATAAATAAAATAAATAAATAAAAATATAAATTTGCTGTACTGGGAATTTTGGAGGTGGTTCTCATTCTTTTAGTGTAAGGTCATATAAAATTTTTTTTTTTCCCTCTTGATCAATAAATTTCTCCTTAAATAACAGGCAGATTTTTTTATATTGATTGTTTCATTTTTGGAGGCAGGTCTTAGTCAGGACTTAGAAGAGAAGGGCTAGCTCATAGAGCTTTTTCCCCTGAAGCAGAAAGTGAGAAGTGATGACGTAGTCATGATGACACTGAGCGCGCAGATGCAATTCACAGCTTGAAAATTAGTGTTTTTGAACCAGCGTTTAAAATGAGGTGTGTGTGAAAGATAGCTATAATTTGGAAGAGACAATGTTACTGCTTTATGCATTTTAGACTGAACCATTAAAAAATTTAATAATACTTACTCAATTTTAAAATAATAGATAAAATGTGCTACTCTTTTAACATAAAGTTCCATGGGGTTTTTAAATTTTTATTTGCAGGTTTTTTATTCAATGCACGTTTATTTCTAATAATTTCTTTATCTGCATGTTAACTGAGAGAATTTTTATACTGCTTCTAAGATAACTATAATAGCAGCTATTTAAATTTACTCAAAAAACAATTTTACATTGACATAGTTTTAAACATATATGGCAACATTTCTGCTAACCTACGTTTGATTTTTTGCCTAATTGTAAATTTTACATTGTTATAATTCTCTTCCGATTCAATATAATAATAGATATTTTTAAAATAATTTTGTAATTTATACTTATATCTATATTACAATTAAATAAATGTATGTAAGATTGTTACCTTAATTTTGACAAAATAGCTTTACTCAGAGTATCTAATACAGTACTTTTAATTTTTCAAAAGTATGAGTAAAGGAAGCAGGTCTTTTTATGCCAATTACTTTTGATGTTTTATACTATTATATTTTATCTAGATTGCTAATCTAGCATAAAATCTAATCAATAATTAGTTACAAAGGATACAATAAGAATAACTTTAACAAGTACTTAACAAAATTAGTTTGTTAAATACCTGTTATTCTTGGTACTATTTTGGTACTATTCATAATACCAGAGATATTATCGATTAACTCATAGAAGTCAGATGCTTTTTGATTTCCTGTGGGGTGGAGTATACCTTTTGCGGTACTTTTTGAAAATAATGTTTTCTCTGGAGCGACTTTTTGTCTCTTGACCATTAAATAATTCGGTTTTAGTTTGTGACACAATATGATTTCTTCTCAATCTCTATTTAAAACCTCTTTAATAATATCAAAATTTGAAACAGTTCCATCTTCTAAAACAAATCATTTATCTAAAACGTGGTTTCTCAGTAATTTGAGGCAGAGCGCGAAATGAGACCTCTAATTAAAATTTTGAAAAGAACAGAGAACTTGTTCCAGTTTAGAGTCATAGCAGAGTTTTCAATCTATATGCATTTTGTCGAAATTGAGAACGCATATTTTTTCTACAGAATACAAATATTCACTTCTTTCCTTCTTTAGAGTAAGAACATCACTTTAAATTCTTGGACTACACTAAAATTTAGCGCACCATTTCTTTAATTTACTAATACTAGGTAAAGATATACCAATTTTACCTTCTTTGCCACTGAACAAACGTTCTAAAATTTTTCTTTTCCCTATTTTTCAATACTTTAATACAATTTTCTAAGGATATTATTTTGTTCTTCAAATTATCAGTGCATTCTTGTTTATCCTTAAACTTAGGGCATTCAGGAATATCTACATTTTTATTTGTGAGTTTTATTCCAAAATCATTAAAATTTGATTTATTATTGTCATCAATTTCAATTTATTATTGTCATCATAATTTACTTTCGGCACAGCATTCCATTTCAACAGTTTCTTTTTGTGGCTATCCAAACAAGCGATTTTTCATATCATCATAAACACTGCATAGAAAATGTTCGCTGCAGATTTTCCACTCTTTACATTAATAGAATCTTGTCTTTGACATTTGTGTATCCATTCTTTCGTCAAAAGCAAAATCTCATTTGGATCCTTTGGTCCCATGAAATAAAATATCTCATCCTTTCGTACTTCTGTAAGTGCTACGGCACGTTACTACAGCGCAAAAAGCCATGTTACGTAAACGATACTTTACAATATAGAATTTAAAATAAAAACTGACTAAAATTACATTATATACATTATTAGAAAACAGATATATATATGATTAAAATTAATTTGGGATATGTAACCTCTAGAAAATCGTCTCGCAGCTGAATGAAGCTACAGTTTTAAACGCGGGAAATCAGAACAGGTGGCATCACAGTGACGTCAGATTACTGCCTGTTAAGTTCCCCCATTAGGCTCGTATCAGCAAGGAGTCAAACAAAGAAATGAGCTAGCCCTTTCTATTTGTCCCTGGTCTTAGTTATATGAGCACTTTAAGGACACCTGCTATATGGCAGATGTAAATGCACATAACAAGATGAGTGGCACACATGCATGTCATGAAGTAGAATATTTCTGTTTTAATTATTGTTGGTATTCTTTATTTACTGTGTGGGATTGAATGTAGTTCTTTATTTCTTATTTTCAGAAAATGAAGTATTTTACCCTTCATTATTTTTCTTGTTTCATTTTTGTACTTTTTTCTCATGCCAATTTAAAGTTTTTTTATCCTTAATGAGAAGCAAGAGTGCACATTTCTGAAATGCTTGCCTTTTTTCTCCAAAGCACTGTGATTACCCTCAAAAGGATGAACACTTTGCTTTTGAAGCATTTATTGGAAATGATCGAACTTCTCAGTTTTTTTTCTATCTCATCATTTAGAGCATGTCCAGAGTGTACTACACAGTGTAGACAATTGTACATATGTGAGAAAGGGGAAATGACGCTAACAAACAATCAAGCTTAGGTGATGAGAGTCCGAGCAGCACTCAAGTTTGGTTTAGCAGTTAGCCTCTGCTAAACACTATACCAACCGGAGCATCAGCAATGTGATGTCTGGGGCAGGTGTAACTTTTTCTTATATAATTTATTATTTTTTTTTTTTTTAGTCCAAAGGGGCTTTGTCCCTGAAGGACTATTGTTTTCGTTTTGCAATTTTTGCATTAATTCACCATAAATGGGAATCACTTTTCAAACTGTTGCCACAAAGTATTATCACCCTGTGTTATATTTAAAGAAATTCAGTAATGAAAAATATGGATAAATGTGTGTATATTTCTTGCATTGTGATAAAACAATGGTACATAGAGCCATCGAATTTTGAATGACGTAATCCTCCTGTGAATATGGGCATGTGGAATACCAAATTTGAAATTTGGGAATTTGTTTTATTATCAATTTCCTATTTTGTAAAACTTTAACGAATTTTTGATTAACAAACTGAAGGATTTCAAAGCAAGCAATGGCAACGTTATACAGAAAAAAAAAAAAAAATTATCTCCAGTGCGCGAGTCTCTGTATCAGAAATTCTAAAGATATGCTCACTTTAAAACTATTTTGCTGCTGCTATATGTTGCTGTTGAACTGAATTTTATGGTTTAAGTGCGAAGAACGTGATATTTAATAAATAAATGAATGTAACGCAAAAAAATTAAAAAAACGAAAATTGGAGACCCAATGTCCAAAGGGACTTTGACAATTTAAAATCTGAAAGATTTCAGATTTTTTCCTCTTTTTTTGAAATATTTCTTTGTTTTGTAATTTTTTTTTTTTTGGGGGGGGAGTACTTTATCACCTTGTTAGATATCAAAATATGCACATTAGATGCTTGAAAATATTGGAGAAGAGGAAACATACTCTATAACTGGAAGAAATTTTATTTCTACTGCAATAATCACTAGAATGAAAATTTAGTAAATGGTGAAAATTCCCAAACATTTTGCAACGCTGAATCAAATGATAAACTTAATAAAGAAGTCTTCACAGTTTAAGAAAGAATTTCGAAAGCTAAGGTACATGCTTATGAAAACTGATTGCTTATTATCAGGGAATTTTCTCTCTCTCTTTTCTTGGAGCTTTAAGGTCAAATTCTAATGTTTAATTATCTGAGATTAGTTTTATATGTTACACAGCAAAATACATAGCTTAATCAGTTAACTGAATTTCAGTTCTTAAAATAAGTTTTATTTTTCTAAAATCTTTTAATTTTAGTCTTAAATGTAAATAAAAATTTATGCTTCTGTAAGTAAATAAAGTAATTAAGCTGTCTAGGAAAGGGAAGTAATTATTTAAAATATGAAAACCATAGATCTCTGGTGGTTTTCTGTAAATTAGGTGTAACAACAAACTTTCGTGCATTTTATGGTAAATTTCTTTTGGGCTGTCAGAACTAAATAAATGAAACTTTTCATATCTACAAAGATTAATTACAATTATTATAAGTAAGTTTGTGATTAGTGATTCATGATGCAAAAATAAAGGATTTTATACAAAGTGAAGGATGTGTAAGATATTGCAAAATGCATATACTCTGTAAAGGAGAAAAGATATTGCAAAATGCATATACTCTGTAAAGGAGAAATAGCGAAGACCATGCCAAGATGCAAAACCAAAAATAATGGATATATTGGCATGCCAGAGATGGTTTCTGAAATTTTAATAATTTCTTTTTGCTGGTGCTTCAGACTTTAAAGACCATCATATGTTGATAAATTGCATCTTTGAGCTAGTTGAAAAAACATGTGCTTTTCTTTTAAAGACATGCCATGTATTTTTGGATCACATTTTGATTTTTTGAGGTGTTTAATTTGTATCCCTATGCCTTTGGCTCAATATTTGATGAAACAAAATAATTGGGTACAGCAACAAGGAAACATTCTGTAGTTTTAGAAAAACCTTTCAAAAACCCATTGGGGAGAAAAACATGGCCTACATTATTTATTTATATTTTTTTATTTATTTATGTATTTA